AATCCGCTGATAGTGAAGATGGCGGAGGGGGATTGGTAGATGGCAGTGATCGAGGAGGATTACGTGCGGTAGCGGCGGCGGTAAGACCGGGACCTCAAAGCCCTACTCTCACTGGATCATACTCGGCCACCCCTTTTCTTCTCCTTTTCTTTCTATATATAAAATCCACGGGGCCTTCGGAGGGGCTTAGTTTTTGAAACCACCCACTGCCCAATCAAATAGGTGAATTCACGCACAGACGGAGTGGTTGTAGATTCTTCTATCGGTTGCGAGCTTCTCCAGATTATTCACTTCTTCGTTTCTTCTTCTACTACTCAGCCTACTCACGGTAACACACCATTAGCTCTTGCTTGCTGTTTATATTTTGAGCGTTAATTCGTGTATTCAATCCTGCGTTGTTGTTCGTGTTGTCAGATGGATAGGTACCAGAGAGTGGAGAAGCCGAAGTTAGAGAACTCTCCTATAAACGAGAATGAGATTCGCATTACTACTCAAGGAAGGATGAGGAACTACATTACTTATGCCACCACTCTTCTCCAGGTCCGTTTCTCCTCTCGGCTATATGTGCTCATGTACAATTATGGGTATCACTTAATTATGCGAGTGAAGAACAACGTCCAATGTGTGCTTCTAATTTTGTAGTGCTCCTGCTTTTAATACTTCAAATGCCTGATTCGAGGTCAATTTTATATATCTTTTAGAGACATTATTTAATGCCGAACTTTTGTTTTATGCTATTACTTTATTTGTTAGTGCATTTCTTTTGCTATGAAAAACTGGGAAACCATGCTTTTGATTTTGATATCAATATCAATTAGGGGGCCTCTACACATAGAGATGTCTTGTGAGTTTCACTCCTGAGTAGAATTCTCTATCCACTTTCTTTCCCATTAGGGTAGACTACTCGAAGAGAATCCACTTCGCACTTAACCCATTAACAAAAAATAAAAAATAAAAAGATAATATCAGTCCATTTTAACAAAAGACCTACACCCAAGTTCCATAGTTTTAGGTCCTACACATCTGCACTTTGTTTCTATTATTGTTTTCATTTTTGGTAATGTCCAACTCTTATTTCCTGCTTGCATGTTCCTGTTTCACCCACAGACTCTCAATAGTTGTTTGACCGTATTATTCTAGATACTTTTCACCATTCTTAAATAAATTGTTGTTATAGCTTGATTTCATTGCTTATGATTTCTGGGTTCTTTCATAGGATAAAGAATCAAACGAGATTGTTGTCAAGGGAATGGGCAGAGCTATCAATAAGACTGTAATGATAGCTGAACTAATTAAGGTATGGTTATTCTCTTCACCATGCTTGTTCTTTTGGTGGTCTTGCGATACCCTCTATATTATCTACCTTTTCCTTGTTACTCAGAGAAGGATTGCTTGTCTCCATCAGAGCACAGCAATTGGATCTACTGATATAACTGACATGTGGGAGCCACTCGAAGAAGGCCTTCTTCCGTATGCTTCTGAAAATTTAACACTTTTAGCTTTGTAGCACAGGTGTTCTGATACCTCATTTTTCTCTACTCTTTGCAGTCTCGAGACTACAAGGCATGTCTCGATGGTATCAATTATCTTGTCCAAGAACGAGCTAGATGCTTCCTCCACAGGGTAAATATTTGTCATGTGGTTTGCCTAATTTGTTAAGATTCAGTATTAAAGCTCCATGTTCTTCAATATTTAAGTGGATCTGCTTCTTGACCACCATTTTCATTTGTTTTACTTCTATTCAGGTACCAATCACCACTTCCCGTTGACCAGGTGAAACCATGGAATGAATTAGAAGATGACGGAGGTGAATAATATAAAATGGTTTTTACATTTCAATTCATTTATTCGTAGTAATGAACTGATGTTAATTAATTTGCACCAATTTACTTTGATTTAGAGGGATCACCTAGAGGACGAGGTAGAGGACGTGGTAGAGGAAGAGGCAGAGGTAGAGGTAAAATTATTCTCTTAAAACAAGGATTTTGAGAGGTTCATCTTTTCATGATCTTAATTTGAATGTTATGATCTCGTGTAGGGAACTACAATGGTCCATCTGAGTATCAGGGCGATGGTTGGGATGGAGGGCAAGGTTTTGGAAGTAGAGGTCGTGGACGTGGACGAGGTCGTGCATTTCGTGGAAGAGGACGCGGTTATGGTTACCAATCAGGTGGATATTTTGATTATGGCGATCCTATGGCACCACCAGTACCTGGTGAGTATCTATCCTCTTGGTTAGCCTTCTTCTTTTGGTTATAAAAGTATGTAAACTCTAGTATGCCATACCATTGTTTCGAACCCGGGCACATTCGGTTGACTATATGTTATGTAAAGGTTTTGCAGGGCGTGGTCGGGGCAGGGGGCGGGCTCGTGGTCGTGGTGGTTTATATCGATCAGATGGTCCAGTTCAAGCAGCAGCTGCTTGAGAGGCAGATTGTTGATGAATGTGGTTGGTAAAATTGGTGCCATGGAAATAGGAGTTTTAGTTTCCGTAGTGTTTTGACATAGGAAGATTTTGGTAGCTCCCAATTAACTTCAGACCCAAATTTTTACTCTCTATTCAATAGGCGGTAGTGTAGAAGCATCCGTACATTCTTTCATACATTTTTTCATCAAAATTTAATGGAATAGTTGCATTTCTATGAATTAGTCCAACGAGTTTCGAGTGGAGGTCAAATTATCTATCGATCGTTAGAATGGTAAATGGTGCCTTGTTCATTGAACTATGTTGACTTTAAAATCACGGGTTCAAGTGTTATCCAACAAACATGTGAAGAATGTGAAAATTATTGTTTCTCTAAGTCTACCAGGTGCATTTAAAGCCCTATACTTTGAACAGTGAATTTGTTTATGAAACACATGCACATGCAACATCCTTATTTTTATCATTGGACTTTTTATCTTACTGAAACAAAACAACGAAATAAGTCAAACAATTACACTGGATATGTTCTCTTTAAAAATGTTTACAAACAACTCAGAAAACTCATTTCTGAGTTGACGTTAAGAGGATTTTTATAATCGAACTATCTATCTCTAATATTGATAATTAATATATCATCTACTAAACTATATTTTGATCATCGAGATTGAACTCTATTGCTGCATACAATTAAGTTTGTCATAACTTCTCTCTGACTTGTAGAGTCAAAACTAGCTGTTAACTCCCGAATTTGTAAAACAATTTATTTAAATAATCTAATAATCTACTCGAAACGATCGTTAGCCACCGTCGCCGTGTTCAAGTTACGACGATCCACTTGCCGGAAATCTACCATTACCGATGGATTTGGTGTTGATATATATGCTTTGGAGGGATCGAAATCGTCTCTTCTTAGGCCGACAAATGGAATCGAAATCTTCTTCATCTTTTCCGAAAATCTCTTCGATTTTCAACCAAATTGACGTCTGAATTTGGTATCTCTTCTGATCAACCTCCTCCTCCCCACCGTCACCGCGGTCGCCGCCGTGACCCTTTTTCAGCTTCTTGTTCTTCTTGCTCTCCGCCGCCACAACGACATTGCTACTACAGTTGTCGTCGTTGTCGTCGTCGTCGTCATCCTCGATGCTCAGCTGCATCAACTGCTGCGCCGCAACCAGTACCTCCTCCGACGAGTCTTCTCCCATGGAAAAAAAAACTCAGATTTTAGAGAGAGAAACAAGAGAGAGAATGAAGTGGAGTGATCAAGTTCCTCTCTTTTTAATTTAGAGTAACTGATTTCTTATGTGTTTTGCGAAAGATCGCGTTTTTTTGAAGTTGCAGAGTTTTCTTGAAGAGAGAGAAACAAGAAACGGAGGAGAGAGGGTTTAAATACTATATCATTGACTTTCTTGACCACTGTCATTTCAAGTGTAAGCCGTCGGATGAACAGGGTTTAAATTTGAACGGTTTTGATTGATTGAAGGAACGTTAGTGGAAATTGTCAAACCCGTAAATATGATGTTTTTCCTAATAAGGGTTAATTTGGAAGAATAAAAAAATAATGACTTTTGACTTTGACCTTTGACCTTTACCCTTTGACCAATTTATGGTTTGGGCCTTACTACATAATAATTAAGCGTGTGGAAGACTAATTACTTTGGAGGCAAAATGGTTACTTTATTATTATTATTTGTTTTTTTTTATTTAAATATTCCTCTAATGGAAATTACTATTCAATTTCAATTTCTTCATTACTATGCTTAATTCTGTTTAAAGTCTATTTATATGCTCTCTTTTTTTTATTATTTTAAAGTTTTCTTTACTTCTCACGAATTAAGTTTCCGATTGGACGATACGACCTCGGATACAATGAAAAGAAATGCTCAACTGATGTCATATCTCATTCTTTACAATTCTTCATAGTTGCTTGGTGTTACAGTCATACTTATCCAGGCATGTTGTCCATGACCACATATCCATTCCAAACCCCTTTTACATGCTTTCTAAGCATCTTAGAGATAGACTTTTACTATTTCATAATATGTCAATACGAGGAGAGATGACTAGCTGGACCCTATTATGGATTTCTGACCACATTCTCCATAGGCCCTCTTATCTCTTCCTTCTCCAAGCTTGAGTTATGGAAGAAGGAACCGAGAACAAAATATCAGCAACAACAGATTTTATTACGGGACAGTTTATGATGTTCATATCGATCTATTATGCGCCTCTGCATCTAGCATTGGATCACTTCTTAGTTACCTAATCATTTTTAGCGTATAACATTGTTTTCTTTTAAATTATTTTCGACGTATTTCGTGAGATGCTCAAGTATACACCAACATTGTCCACGAGTCCAAACTTCTCACGACTAAGCTAAGCTAGAACAATTGCCACACAATCACCATCCTGCTCAATGATTCATCGCGGATTCTACAACAGTATCTATGGTTCACCGCAAGAGAACTATGATCAAATATAGACCAGAAACCCATTAATTTGAGGCGAAGAACAATGAGATTCAAAGTTCAAATTCAAATGGAAAGTGAAGAGAGTGGCAAGCATAAATTTTAGATATCCCTGAAGAGTTTGAAAAGGGAATAAATTATAGTATTTAAGTTGAGACCATGCAGGGGACATGAATAAGGAACGAACAATTTAGTAAGCACCCAGAGAAACAGAGTAATTTTAATAAAAGAATCGAAGAAATCTATAGAACAAGTAACAATTCCCCACCTCTATCTACATCATACTGCTTCATTAACCTTCTTCCCACAAAAATTAGTCAAATCTCCTGCAAAAACCATAATCTTCTCGTCTTGTCCCGTCCCGTCCCGTCCCGACCCACCAACCAACCTGTTCCCTAATCACAGTTCAACCCGCAAACTTCTAAAACAGGACCATCTCTGGATACAAATGGGTTGATCCTTACCCAAAGTAATGTTAAGATTGAGGCTAAAAGAATGGACCAAACAACGATGATCGTCGGTATCCGATCCTGTTTCCCTAACAATCCCTTCAGGAACGGGTAGAGGTGGATAATCACCCAAAGAGCGAAAAATAGCCTCCCGAAAAGAGGACCCCAGGAATCGTATCCATTATTGATGGCATCTGAGATCCCGACGATCACACCGACGATGTTTATGATCAACAAGGTCGTGGGAGGTATTAACAATGATGTCCACTTGAAAATATAGAGCTCTGAAAATTCACCATCATCGGCTGCTTTGGATGTAACTGTGAAGTTGGTACTCACACCAGCTAAAACCTTGAGTAGACCTTGGAAGAGAGCAAAAAGATGCGACGAAACGCCTCCGATAACCCAGAACTGCTCGTTCCTCCACCAGTCGTCGATCCCGACACCGCCCCACTGCATCTCGAGGATACCAGTCGCAGCAATTGAAATGAAGAGTGCCATGAAAATAAGACTAGCATAGTTGCTAATCTGCAAATGGTGGATAAACCAAGCCAAGTTAACAGTAAATGGAATAATTTTCTACTCAAATACAAATCAAAGAACCCAAAAAGTGAAGAAAAATTCTTGTAAATGTGAGAGATTACCTCAGGAACAATAAATTTTCCAGTGAGAAGACAAATAGCTGGAAGACTACAGTACACGAGCAATGGAATCGAGGTCCACGGATAAACCACCGAGTTTATGTACGAGAATCGTTCCAACCATTTCAACCCGCCTCCATAACCATACCAGATAGGACAGTGTCTGCTCAAGAATATCTCGACGGATCCTAAAGCCCACCGAAGAACTTGGTGTAGACGATCTGAGAGATTGATCGGAGCTGACCCCTTAAACGCGGGTCTCTTCGGAATACAATACACCGACCGCCAGCCATGACAGTGCATTTTGAATCCAGTTAAGATATCTTCAGTCACAGAACCATAAATCCAGCCAACCTGAAATCGTGTTGAAAGGTTTCAGAGACTAAATCTCATAGAACGCGAAAAGCATCACGATTTTCGTTTATTACTAACCTCTTTCCCCCATTCTGTTTTATCTTCATAACCACAACTGATGACTTGAATGGCTTCTCTTAGAAGAGATGCAGCACTCACATCATGAGGAACGCCTCCATTTTCCAACAGGGTCGAGGCGACGAACACTGGAGATTGCCCATATTTCTTCGCCAGTTTTATTTCAGACACGCTCAGTTTCTCTATGCTTAGTTCTGCAGAAAAAACATATGGTGAGTCGTGTTAAATTTCTATTATACAAAAGGAAAACAGCATCTTTCAAAGTCGATTCGTTACCTTCGATTCCCTCCTCGATGTTCTCGAGAGCATGGATCTGCTTTGATGCTTCTCTGTGCTTTGTCTTCTTCTTTTTCTCATTCTTAGCCTTTCCTTTCTTGTTCCTTCTAGACCCACAACATAGACAGCACCATTTTGGCAAACAGTTGCATGTTTTGCTTGGCGGTTTTTTCTCGGCAGGAGCATCAAATCCGTAAAGAGCAACCCTCCGGAAAACACATCCCGTACCAACGTATATCGGTCCTTGTATTCCGTCTAATCCTTTCATGTTAATCTGTATTAAAAAATTTACATTAGTCTTTCAACCAGGCAATGGTAGACAAATTTAAAGAACACTATCCAACCAATGAATCATATACGTACATCAAAGAATACAACGTTCCGGTTTGAATATCTATCGTGTCGATCAATCCCATCGAATCTTTGAGGAAACTGCACATAACAAACTTTCTTCCCGGATGTCGGATCCATCATGAAACACATAGCTTCTCTAAGTGCCTTGCTATTGTTAATGTAGTGATCACAGTCAACATTAAGAAGATAGGGAGCGTTTGACAGAACAGCTGAGACCCGAATCTTCGAAGCAGAAAATGGAAAGAAGAGTAAGGTTTAAGGGTAGCGTAATCGTGATCAAATGGCAGTAGCTGAGTGATGGTCGTCTTAAAGATTCAGGGGAAGAAGATTTTAGCTTAATACGTACCAGTGAATTCATGGCACCGGCCTTTTTGTGATGTTCGAACCCTGGCCGCTTTTCACGAGAAACATAAACCAAACGTGGAAGCTCGTTTCCTTCAATGTCGCATACTCCGTTCTGGCCAAGGAAAACCTGTAAAGGCACAAATGCAAAGTATCTTTAGCTTGTACTGACATGACCAATCAGACCTGAAGCATGCCATTCATTGGTAGGTTTTTAGAGCTTCGAAAACAGCAAGCCATTCTTGTTAACAAAATGCTGACAGATTTCAAAGACATATTACCTGAATCATGCCGGGGTGGTCTCGAACATTGTTCCCAGGCCATGGAGTACCGTCTTGCATTGTCCAGCCATCCTCGGGAACCTTTTGAGACATGGAGACCAAAGCATTTATCCTAACCTTAAACTCTTCGTACTCTCTCTGTTGAAAGCAAAGTGAATGAACAGACAGTCAGTAACAATAGGATATTGTAACAGTCCAAGTCCACCACCGCTAGCAAGATATTGTCCTTTTTGGACTTTCCCTTTCGGGCCTCCCAAGCAAACGCGTTATCAAAAACCTTGAGGGAAAGCCCAAAAAAGAAAGCTCAAAGAGAACAATATCGGTTAGCGGTGGGCTTAGGCGGTTACAGATATAGTATCAGCATCCTAACTTCAACCACCGTTCTAAATGAGGTTATATAATTTGCACAAATTGAAAGGAAAAAACTACGTTTGTAACAAACCTTCATTGCTCGCCTTTCCCTGACAAATGCTGGGTGGACCTTGTTCTTCAAATAATCGATCTTCTGAGAGAAATAAAACTCGGGGGCACGGGGCTCGATATTGAATTTCTTACAGAAAGGGACCCATTTCCTTGCAAATTCAGATGTCTCCGAGAGTGCTTCGAATGTTAACATGGCTGCACCATCATCCGAGACATAGCATGCAACTTTATCGACTGGGTAGTCGACTGCAAGGATGGAAAGTACTGTATTTGCAGTGATCAATGGAGGTTCTTTCGTCGGATCGACAGTACTAACAAATACGTCCACGCTGGCTAATTCAGAAGGCTTCCCTTCTTTCTCATACCTGAAAACGTGAAAACCAAATAATCAGGCCGAGCTTCCGAAAGTACACGGAGAAATCTCCAACTATCAAATAAACGTTTTTATTCATCACCTCAGTGACAGCCTATCGAGATAAGTTTCCCGTTCTATTGGACACCATTTTGGGAACTGATCCAGAATCCACGAAACGGCGAACCATATTTCACATATTACTGAAGTTAACCACAGGCCATAGGCATCTTTAACTGGATGAAGAATTCTGTACTGGAAAAACAGGCCAAGAATAACAAGACGAAGCAAGATGATTAATCTGTACGGATTTATCCTGCTCGAAGAGATGGGTAATTTCCTTGATAGTGGTTGCCTAGCTTCATCCATCCTGTCAAATGGTACAGCGAGAGTAAAAGAAGCCATGAAATTAGTTGAATTGCTCGCCAAATCGTCCACATGAAACTACACGCGAATGCTAAAACGTCGAGTTACAATAACAGATCACAAAAGATCAAACTTAGATAGCGTAACACACGAGCATGTAAACAAGCATATAACATGCACAATACACTTCTAACAGTGGCTTACATGGGCAAATCGGGATCATCGATATCGTTTCCACCATCATCGACCCCTTGGTGTTTCACCACTTGAAGTTTATCATTTTGCTTCTTCTTCCAATCTTCCATTCGGTCCTTCCATGCCACGCTCCCATAACCATACACCGCAATATCTTTTTGAGGAACCATCGGTCTAGGTTGAGCTAGGGGATGGGAATCGAGATGTCAACCATAATGTATAAACCATGCATATTAGAAACAAGCGTTTGAATGCCTCAACAACTTACAAGGAATTGATGGATCATGGAAAGGCATTGGATGGACTCGATTCCCCTGACCCATAAAATGGGGCACGAGAGCATGTTGATCAGAAGAAATCTCATAATCCTAGCACACGAAAACGCATCATTACACAGGTTTCATTATGAAAATCAACAATTAGCATAACCAAGTCGACGAGAGAGTGTTGAAGAACTTCACTTACCACCTCGCCATATGTCAGGAGAGGAATCTCAGAACCAAGGGGAGAAGGTTCGAGCTCCGACTGTCCACAGCCCATGTTATGGTACGAGCCATACGTTCCCTCTCCAGAATGATAAGGACCCAAAGAATCGAGGTTTGCATAGTCAAACTCGTTGTCCAAATCATCGATACCATCTTCATCCTCATCACCCTCAACCCTTGGACTACCTGCAATTTCCAACAATGATTAGAACCCGAAAAAATAATATAAGAACGTTGCTAAGAACCCTACCTTTAATGCGTTTGTATCTGGTTTTACACTGTGGACAAGCTTGGTTTCCCTCTCTTCTCTCATACTCATAGCAAGGTCTACAAACTGGGAAAGCACATTCATTACAGGCAACAAAGAGCTCTCCCTCAACAGTTAACTCAACCTCGTCTCCACAAATCTGACATGTCTGTCCACTCAATTCCTTCACAGCCTTGATCTGAAAAAACCAAACAAAAATGGAAACACTAGAATAAGAACAAGTCCAGCACTGATCATCTTGAACAGTACAGCCAAAACATAGCCGAGGCGAGATTTTGTTCGAGCCCTTTTCAGGGTTAGATCATAAAAGACTATATGAACATGTTAAAAAATGAAACTTTATAACACAAAGCAAAAAGCATCTGAAAATTTTTGCAGTATCAAAATGAAATAGAAATAAATATCTTCAATTCAATCAACTCCTACCAAAAAATCTACACAAGCAACAGGACATGCACAGCAATTCCCTACAAGAACGAAGAATCAAAGCCCCAAATTGTCCATTTCCAAGAAACCCCAAGTTAAAACGAAAAAAAAAACTCAGAAAATTCCTCAAAAATGAGCCAATGTGTCGTATTATCGAAGCGTCGAGGAGTGCTAATCTTACCCGAGCAGTCTCGTCTGCATTGATCAGAACAAACTCGTTTCGATTATGAGACCCAGCAATGAGTCTCCCAGCGGTATCCATCGTTCACAATAGCACTCCTGAAGTGAAACAAAACCCCGATTGTAGAAATGGGGGAATCCTAATTAGAAGCCGATCTCGAAGCAAATGAGTCCGCCCCTCACAAATTAACCCAAAAAAACTTCATCTTTGCCATAATAAAAAAAAAAAAAAACTCAATCTTCAGCAACCACCATGGAAAAAAACAACTAGAAACGCATATTTTCGTGGATTCCCTGAGTCCCCTTAGCAAAACTGGGTGACCCCGTCTTAATCTATGCCAGAACCAAAGGGATAAACAAGAAAAAAGGAAAAGAAAGAGATAGAGAGAGATTGTATTTTTGTGTGGAAATGAGAAGGCGTAGAAGAGAAGGAGATAATAAGAGAGGGATAAAGGGGCTCGTATGTGTGAGTGAAAAGAAAGGTGGGCCCAGAAGTGTGGTGGTGGCGCTGGGCAGTGCCCACCACCGGAGTTGGTGGAGAAAGCGAAGAAGAGAGAACAAAAAAAAAAACGAAAACCCACTTCAAAAACAGAGTGTTTGGGTAAAGAAACAGAGAGAGAGGGAATCTGAGAGAGAGAGCGAAGAATTTGAGAGAAACCCAAATGAAATTGGATTAAGAAGAATAAGGAGAGATTAGAGAGAGATAGAGAGAGGAGGAAGGAAGTAGGATCTGCTGACTGCTCACGCGGCAAAGATTATGTCTTTTTCCTTTATCTCTCTGTCTCTCGCGCATCTGTGAGCAGTGTTGGCGCTTGCTGGAAAACGCGTTTTTTACTTTTTATGGGTTTTGGGTGTAAGAAAAAAAATGTAAAATCTGAAACTTTTTCATTTTGATCTTCGCGATCGAATTCCTTTGGATCATAATTGGGAATTAGGGTTAGGGTTAGGGTTAAAAAATGGAGCGTTACTAAGAAGACGGAGTTGACTATTAAATAACGTTTGACTATAATACGCTTCCCTTCTTACCTTCCAAGTTTCCTTTTAGCCCTTCCATGTTCCATCTCGGTTTTCACTCGGTTTTTTCGGGTCAAACCCGACTTCTTCTTTATTACCTTTTTTTATGTATTTTATCTTGTTTTTTGGTTCCATAAATTATTAAAATAACTTTTTATTTTTAGCTTTGGAAAATGTTTTTTCTTTTAAAAGTCATATTTTTATACCAACCCATCCCATCAATCTTTTAAACCATCGAACAAAAATTAAGATTTAAAACGATGCAATGATAGCTTTGAACGTAAAATTCGATTGTCGCACCATGTTCGTCTATATCCTACCGTTTGTGAGATCCCATATCGGTTAGAAAGGATAACGAAGCATACCTTGTAATAGTATGAAAATCTCTCTTTAACATACGTGTTTTAAAAATCATGAGGTTGACAGTAATACATAAGAGACAAAAGTTGACAATATTTACTAGCGATAAGCTTATGTTGTTGCACTATTTTAGGTTACAATCATCCTATTTCGCGTCACTGTTTGATCTAAAAGAATAAATGTATTTCTAAACCTAAAAAAATTATTCAAATGGGAAACAAAAATGTAAATATTAATACGGAGATTAGTACACAAAATTGAGATTAATTAGTAAAATTGATAAGTTAATGTGGATTAACCACGTTAATCAAAGAGAATAGTCATAAGTTTAATGATTTAGGGCAATACACATATTTGGGTCTCTAAACAAATAACTTCTTCCACCTAACTTTTAATACATTTCTTAATCATCCATTATTATCTCCATTAATAATCCCTTGACCCAACCCACATTAATATTGCTCCTCCAAATTTTATACACCATAAGATTTATTTTTCCTTTATAATTTTTATTATTGTATTTTTCTTTTTTAATTATTAAATATTAATTCCTCACGACTATTTTATATTTTAAATGATTTTATCCCCGCTTCAATAAACTATCGTACTTTAGTCTCGAGGTGATATTTGTCTTGATAAAAAAAAACATAATTTTAGTTAAAATAAGTATATATAAACTTGGAGCTGTTCATGGAGACTAATGGAACTTTGCTCATTTTCATCCCTTTTTATTTTAATTTTCATTTATTTTTTAATAATTAAAATAAAAAAATTAATTTCAATATTACAATATAGTATTTTGACACTTTATATATCCCACAAATTAAATAAACATATTAGAGTTCACATTTTAATGAAAAAAAGAAAATAATAATATTTTGTTTCAACAAAATTTCACATTTTGGAGTTTATATATCAAGGGTAATTTAAGTAATTTAACTAAATAAAAAACCCAAAATCTAGGGTTAAAATGGGAGAGGAGTAACTTTGTCGTGTTTTATTTACTTTTAAAAAATTTACCCGAAGATAGAATCGTGGCGCGGAAATTTACGTAGCGGTAAAAAAAACGTTATTTTATGTATAAAATAAAATGAAAATTTGACTGAAGGAGGACGGGGAGTCACGGAGTCGATGTCACACGGGGCCCACCACTGTTTATTATTATTATTTATTACCATTTACCAGAAAAGACACAAAAAAACAACCGTGTCTGTTCGTTTAGAAATAAGAGAAACTGGTTGTGGAATTTAATAAATTATTATATTTCTTTCCCGAGCTATTTTATTTTATTTTTTTTATTTTCCCAGATAATTAACGCAAATGATTTATTATTATTTGAAATGCTGAAATGCCACGTGGTACCTACCGGTGTCGGAGGATCAATTAGAAAGAACGTAGTTTTTTTTTTGTTGTTATTATTTTATTATATTTTTAAAGTTTTCCTTTTCTTATTATAACTTTAATCATTAATGCATCAATGTTACTTTCTCATATTCTCATTTTGACCCCTTGCTTTTTCTAAATTTGTGCTTCTACCCTTCACAATCTTATAATTAAAATATTAATCTCTAACCTTGTAAATTCGTGTTCATGTTTGTACTCTAAAAAACGTAACAATTTGATATTTGGAAACTTTTAATTTAAATAAACTACATTTTCCATAAAAAAAAGAAAAAAGTAATTCTAACTTTGGTTAGTTTTTTTAAAAGATATATTTTGATTTATCATTTTTAATTAAATGTTAAGAACCGTTTGTTTTAGTCGTTCTAATCTAGAAAAATGACAAATTTAGTTGTTTACTATAAGTTAACACAAGTTTCGAGCCCAATAAAAAGCTTTTCAAAGTCACGAATGCATTTCGAGAAAATTACACGAGTAAGACGTCATGTTAAAATATTACGTTAAAAAATAATATTTATTTTAAATAAATTGGCAAAAAGGATCTCACAGTTCACTCTCTTCAAAGACTAACATCCTCATTGACACACTGATTTTAAAACGCGTCTATTAAGAAGACTCTTCCACACCCTTATAAAGAATGTTTTGTTCCACTGTCCAACCGAGATGAGATCTAAAAAATGCATTGAGATGGACGTCAAATTTAGAGTGAGTCTATATGATCATATCGATCTGGATGTACCCATGGCGAAGGGTAATTTGGGAAATGAAAAGAAAATGATGGGAGGGATTCACACGTGTGAGGATGTGAAATTTGGTTGCTTTTGTTGGGAGGGCGTGAGCCCTAAGGAACACAGCGTCGCCCACACTAAGCAATTTACAACAATCCATGTGATTTTGCCCCCTCTCTCTTTATTCACTTTTCTTCAACATTCAGTCACTTGCAAATCAATGTTCATCCATTCATTTATTTTTTATTTTATTTTTTATTTGATAATAATTTTATTTTAATTTGTAAATACTATTTCGACTTATAGTTTTTATTTTATTTATTAGACGTCAGCTTAATAAAAGGTTTGAATTATTTGGTATGGTATTTATATAAAATTTACGGAAAATAATATATGAATCCAATAAAGTTTGTTTTATTTTATTTGTATGTATAAATTAAAATAAAATTAAAAAAAAAAAAGGGTTTATCCATGATTTAATTAGGAATTATGCAATGAAACTGTAATCTATGGAAAAAAGGGTTTAGGGTTAAAAGGGGAAAGGAAGTACAATCAGAAAGTTAATTTAATTTTTTAAACCAATCACCGAACGCCACTCATGAAAAGTGCTTAAGACGGGGCCCACCGTTAGAACCCAAAATAATAATCACAATGATAATGATATTTTGAAAATTAATTAACTAATTGATTGATTTAGCCACGGTGGATTATACTCAGGGACTTCCCAATAGGTGAGCGACACGTGGGTGGACAGAACGATGGGTTTAGGGTTAGAATTGGGGATTGAAGTAGGGCCGTATTAGCGTTTGGTTCGACGAAAAAAAGTTAGGGCGAGAGTGGCGTAGCCTCCACCCCAGGAGAACCCCAAAAAATAAAAATTAATAAATAATAATAATAATATAGCTACAAATTTAATTAATTAATTAATTAATTTATATTATTTTTTTGTAATAATTGTTGGATATAAATATAAAAACAAATTTTGTAGGGAAAAATTTAAAATTTTATACTTTTAGAATTTATCTAATAATATTTAAAAAAAAAGAAAGTTGATATATGAATTACAAAATTTGTAATTTAAAAAATTGAGAGATGAAATAAACGGTGGGATGATGATGGAAGACAGGTGTAAGGGTAGAGTTGTGAAATGGAATTTTAGAGAGAGAGAGAGAAAATAGGGTTTGGGGGTTTAGAAAGTATGGAAGAGGGAGACAATGGGAGGCAGCCCCCCATGTGTTAAAATGAGGAATCCAGCCTAGCGCCAGGCCAACCTCTGTCTCTTCTTTAGCCACGTGTATAATATATATATATATATATATATATATAAATGACAAGAAATCCGTTAAAAATAAAATAAGAGGTGGACAAAGAATTACGCTTACCATTTAGTATTCTCTTGTTAAATTCATAGATGAAAAAGAATATTTATTAAAATTATTTTTTTTTATAATAAAAAAGGTTAATTTTTTAGATGAGATCATTTGTGGAAATTTACAACTCATCAATTAAACGCATTCGAATTAATTCCCAAATAATATTTGTGTATTCTCTTCCCCTCTCTCTTTGTATTTTTTTTTTCTTTTTTTAGAATAATTTGAGATATGAAAAAATTGTATATTTGGTTAATTTATTTGAAATATATGCAGCAATACTATATATTAAAAAGAATCAACGAATCGACCTCGTTGGCTTCAACTATATTGTTTTCAATCGATTTAATTTCAAAAGTGTAAAATAAAAAAATAACCAATTATTCTGATTTGGACAACGTTTGTAAGCTTAATGATACTCATTTTATCAAATAAATTTGACATCATTTTTTAAAGTTTACTTTGAAAAGTTAAATTACAAATTCGATACCTATGGTATGGAAACAATTTAAATTTTGTAAAGTTAGAATTTTTTTTCATGATTTGATAAAATACTCATAAACCAGGACTAAATTTTAACTTTGGACCAAAGTTGTAATTTAATTATTTTATTTGTTAATTTTTAGTTTAATGATGTCTATAATGACTATTGATTTCATATTTTGTTGCTTACATTTTAGGATCATTTTTAAAATTTAAGACAAAATTTGAAAGCTAAAAGAAATAGTTTGAAAACACAAATTATTATTTTTAGAATTTAGCTAAAAACTCTAATATTCACCTGAGAACAAAAAACACAATTAA